CCAAAGTTTTCAAACCCTGGGCTTACTGCCCCGGGGATAATTTGTTTGCCTGAATTAATTATCAGCAGGGGGTGGCCACCTCATTTCTCAGAGCCTTTCTCTTTCGGAAGGAATGCCTTTTAATTCAAACAGCACAACTTAGGGCTCTTTGGCAACTAATGTAAAGGGTGCCTTGACATTTCTTTAAAGGCATTTAAATGTTACTGTCTCCGAAGAAACAATTTTAGAATATGAAACCTTTACCCCCACCCCCCACTTGGGCAAGGAAGAAAAACATCACCAGCTTAATTATATCTGTAAAATAACAACTTCCATGTTTGCTTTTTCATGATGCTGCTGGAATATAATGGTGCCATTTGCAAATTACAATATAATTATGGATAATTTCATGAAACTTGCTTTGGAGTTTTTGTCGATGTAAATGACACCTCACTTTAGAGGACAAAGGTACAGGTAGAGTCATAGATTATCCCTTCTGATTGACAAAAGATCTGCTGGAGAACACATAGCTGGAACTGTGCTACCCTGGACAGTCTCACATGGACATATAAAGGTCCTTTTTGTAGGTGTGGGATCAAACCCGATGATCTACTGGCTGAGCTATATCCCAGCCTCATAAATGCTCTTACAATTAGGAAAAGGACCCAAAGACACTTAGTTCTCTCTCTGCCCCCCACCCCCGTCTCTCTGTGTGTAAGTACATGTGCACATGTGTGCATGAATGTGGAGGCCAGTTGTGTTGTTCCTCAGGCACTGTCTATTTTTTTTTTTTTTTTTAAGACAAGGTATCTTAGTTAGGGTTACTATTGCTGTGCTGAAACACCATGACCAAAAGCAAGCTAAAGAAGAAAAGGTTTATTTGGTTTACAATTCCACATCACTGTTTATCACTGAATGAATTCAGGACAGTGACTCAAACAGGACAGGAACCTGGAGACAGGATATGATGCAGAGGCCATGAGGAGTGCTGCTTACTGGCTTGCTCTCCATGGCTTGCTCTGCCTACTTTTCTATAGAATCCAGGACCACCAATCTAGGGATGACACCGCCCACAATGGGCTGGGCCCTCCCCATCAATTACCAACTAGGAAAATGCTCTACAGGCTTGCCTGTAGCCTGATTTTTTTTTAAAGTATAGCTTCCATTTTATTTTTCCAAGGTGGTTTCTTCTTCTGTCCTTATGAAACCACCTCTTTACATGGGCTTTGGTGGGGGTTGTGGTGCAGCAGCAGCAGGTCTAAATTGTGGTGGGGCTGTTTGGTCCTTCTGGCCTTCATAAGATCGATTCCTGACTACCTTGCTATGAATAGCATAGCTCATACAGTCATGCAGCTTGATGTAGAGTTTGGGAGGTACCCAAGCGTCAGAGACACTCGTTTTGGCTATGCCCCTGAGAGCAGCATCCTCTACAGTGTTCGGAATGATGGACTTCTTAATGGCCTTGTCCTTGGGCTCGCGCCGGGTGCAGTTCATGCAGTGAATTGGCTGCACATAGCTGTGGCCCTTTTTGGCACAATGATTGTTTCTTCTTTTTTTGGCCATTTTGGAGCCAACACCCGAAAGAGCCTATAGCCTGATCTTAGAGGCATTTTCTCAATCAAGGTTCCCTCCTCTCAGATGAGCATAGCTTATGTCAAGTCAACATAAAACTAGCCAGCACACAGGGTCTCTCACTGGCCTGGAATGTGCCAAGTAGGCTAGGCTGGCTGGCCAGGAAGCTACAGGGATCCATCTGTCTCTACCCTCCTCGTACTGGGTTTACAAATGTGTGCCACCACGCCTGGTTTTTTTTTAATTTTAATTTTTTTTTCTTAATGAGAGTTCTAGGGAGTAAACTCAGGTTCTTGTGTTTATAGGCAAGCAATTTACATGACTGAGCTATCTCCCCAGCCCCTAGTTCATTACATATAAAGCATTTATTGTGATAAGAAACATACAGTTCGAAGTCTACCTTCTTAACATGATTTTAAAGGCACATTGCAGAAGTGCTTGCCCTCTGCACCCTGCTATGCTGCACATCCTGAGAGTCTATTCATATTGTGCCATTGAAATGATACTTCACGTTGGCCAGCAGCTGCCAGTTTCCCTCTCTCACATCCCTGAAAACTATCTTTTCATGTTTTGCTTCTGTGAGTTTGACCTCCTCCTGTAGAATTGTGCAGTTTGTCCCACCTAGCATGATTTCTAGATGGTCTACATTTTTACCCATGACATTTCCCAAATAGCATTCTGTTGTGTGGATGTAGCACATCTTCCTTAGCCACTCAGCTGCTGGTGGATGGTTAGGCTCTTGCCATCTTTGGGTATTATGAACAATGTTGCAGTGGACGGAGGGGTGCTAATATTTCCCTGAGATTTTGCTCCTAAGTCTAATGGATAAATACACTGAAATGGGATTGCCTTATCATATAGCAATTTTATTTTTAACCCTTGAAGAACCTGCATATTCTTTTCCATGCAGCTATACTGCATTCCTACCAACACAGTGGTCAACTTAGCACAATCTAGAATCACCTAGAAAGAAAGTCTCATTCAAAGATTGTCTAAGTCAGGTTAGCCAGTGGGCATCTCAATCATATTAATTAAAGTGTGAAGACCTGCCTACTGTGGGTGGCACCATTCCCTAGGAAGGGGATCCTGGGTTGTATAAGAATGGAGAAAGTAAGCTGAGCATTAACACGCACACATTCATTCACTGCTCTTTGCTCTTGACTGTGGGTGTTACCAGGTTCTTCGAGCCCCTACCTTCATGACTTCCCTGCAATGATAAACTCTGTCCTTGAATCATGAGCCAACAAACCCTTTCTTTCTTAAGTTGTTTATGTCTGGTATTTTGTCACAGCATCAGGAAAGGGAACTAACATGGGTTCCAATTCCTTCTCATTTTTAACAACTCTTGTAGTTCTCTGTTGTTCTTCTTTCCTGGATGGCCATCCTAACAGGTGTGATGTGGTTTCTCAATGTAGTTTTAGTTTTTGCTTCCTTGATCATTAGTAATGTCGTTCCCTTCATATACCTGTCCACTATTACTTATACCATACACAAAAATCATGTCATTTTTAAAATAAGTGATTTAACATAAGATATTAAACTATAAAACTATTGGAAGAAAACAGCTAGGAAATCCTTCATAGTTCTTGGCAATGATTTCTGGAATATGACATCAAAAAGCATAGGCCATGGTACTGACTTATTCTATAAAGAGTCAGATAGTAATGATTTGCTGTTGGCAAACTGTTGGGTTTCTACTGTTACAGGGAAAACAGGTACAGACTAATTGCTTGTTGTAGACTTTTAACTCAAGACTTTCATGCCTGTGTACTGTTGGGGATGGAGCCAGCTCCCCTCAGTTGATGCCAGAAACAGCACCTCCACCCATCATGATAACAAAATGCCAAATGTCCTTTAGGGGACAAAATCATTCTTAGTTGTGACCCTCTTATCTAATTGGCTGAGATAACTCGATAAAGAGTCTCAAGAGAGGCTTTTCTAAGATTACAAAGCATAGATAAGGCAGAAGAAGAGTGAAAAAAAAAACCCATGGTGTATTTGTCTTAGGTAGGTCAAGGTTGCCTCAAAGGGGCCATTAGTACCACCTAAATTTGGAAAGTGGTTCAAAAATAACTGCGATGGTAACACAACTGCAAAGTGCTCTGTTAATAATGCAAATATGAGCTTAACCTACTTTTGTGATAGGCACAAGAAACAGCATTGAACACACTAGCACACTCTAATGGAACTCTTGAGTCTTCGGGCCTTGTGTATGTCAGAAAGACTGGAGTGTGGGGTGGGGACAACCAGCAATTCCAATTCCCACTTGGGCAAAGGTTTATTTTTTCTGCTTATCTGAATTCAGAACAAACACAGGCAGAGCGAATTTTGAAAACACTCACATGGCTCTCATTGTTTGGACAGGGCCAGACAAAAATGGCCTGGTTTCACGGCAAATTGGCAGTAACACGTGTTTTTGAAAGTTGGAAACAACATAATGCCTCATCTCAGAGAATAGTGTCTTCTTGTCTTGTAGAATAAACACCTGTTTTGCAAAACAGAAGCATAAAAGCTGTCTTTATAAAAATTGTTGGGTTTCTTTTCTTCATTCCTATTATTCTCCAGTAATTAAAAAATTAAGTACAATTTGAAATTGTGTAGCATATAGATTTGTGTTTTTTGAGCAAACAAATAAACAATGGCAAAACCATCTCACATCTCAACAGGAACTTCAGTTAGTTCCCTGGGAGGTCACTTTCTCTTTGGATTAGAGGGGAAAAAGAAAAGTTCTCTCTTTAATAGCATTTTCTTCAGCTAAGTGCATTTTTCTTACTAACAAGGAGAAATACTGCGGAAATTGTCCTTGAAAGGAGCTGTTGTCATCATGTGCAGGGAATGGAGCTGCTCTCAATGTCTCTCATGGCCAGAGTTGATGCATTTGGTGACTGACTTTTCCAATGCCAAAAGCTTTGGAATCATGATGGTGAGGCCAGCAGGTAGCTAAGTGGATCATTTCCTCTTTCCCTTGGGGCCATGAAAAAATATGTGAAGAAGTATGTTTCTCAGCAATTCACATTTCCACGAACCCCCAAGGACCCAGCCACTTAAGTCCCTCCTGCCTGGCCATATAGCTTCTACTGAATACCTGGCTACCTTTGCAGGTCTGGAGAAGGTAGTATTTTTATGGGATGCATCTGACAGCTGTTCTTCCTCTCTGTCCCCCAGGTTACCATGGCCTCTACTGCGAGGAAGAATACAATGAGTGCCTGTCTGCTCCTTGCCTGAATGCTGCCACCTGCAGGGACCTCGTCAATGGCTATGAGTGTGTGTGCCTGGCAGAATACAAAGGTGAGGCATTTCTCAAGATTTCTTGGCTCTAAGTGACCACATCACACGGAGCTTTCAATGTAGTACATAAGCCCTTAATTGGAGCATGGATTTGTTTATAATCAAAACCAAATCCTGAGGCTGGGATGGTGGATGGGTCCCAGGAGACCCGTTTGTAAGCCTCAGACTTCCTTCTGGTAAACAAAGAAACCTGCTCCTGGCTTTTTTCTTTTTCACATGCATCTCTGTTGACCTCATGTAAAGGTAGACACTGAAAGGGTTGTTAAGGTATGCAGGCAGGGACAGGTCAAAGGCAGTGGCTGGGAACAGGAAAGACCGTGCTGTTCTCAATGGCTCGTTGGGTAAATGCCCTTGGTGGGGGAGATGGGGGAGTCTTGTGTATTGGCAAAAATGTGAGTTCTTATTAAACAAGTCAGTTGGGAGGCAAATGTTAGCTCATGCGATTGGTTGCCTGTTAATGTCACTCTGGAAAAACAGCTGACATTGATGGGGTAGTTAGAGTGTGTGGAACACGTTCTAAGCATGCACGTGCGTTAACTCATTGAAGCCTGCTGGCAGCCCCACAAGGCAGATGGTAGTGTTATCCATCATGAGCCAGAGAGTGTGGTTTGGTTCCTAAAGCTCTTCTCCCTGCCTTTGGCTTGGCTTCTAGCCATGGTGTATGGATGGTGTGGCTTCATCTAAGCCCAGATGCTCAAGTTTGAGAGCCATAGTTCACTGCAGCTGCCCGCCCTATGAATGCTGCTTGCTAGCTGTTGCACAGTTCTCTAAGCCAGAACACACGGGCTGGCTTTAGATTTTTGAAATACTTTTGTGGCCCTATTTATATCCATTTCCCTTAACCTTTCAACTCCTCTCACTGCTTACTTGATAGCCTCCATCTGCCTCTCCCTGCTTCTCTTTTACGGGCCCTCCTCTGTTTTGTGAACTTTCTGGAAAACTTCAAGGACCGACACACTCAGTACTCGGTAAGGGCTCTGGATGCAGCTAAAGCTGGGCCAGGTCTTTATGCCCACCACATTTGCATTTTCATTTGGAACGGGATGCCCAGTGACAACCAAGAAGCATCCATATGCTCAAAGCCACAAGGGCAGACATGATGGTTCGTCTTTCTGGCTTTTCAGCTTGGGGTCTGTGAGAGCATGGGGAAAGAGGGAATCCATCTGACTCTGGAGAGAAGAACAAAAAGACAATGACTCTGGAGGTTTAATTAGCTCATCCTAATCGTGCCACAAGTCTGCTGAGCCTGGACAAAGCTCTCAAATAGATTTTGGCCAACAATACTTACAGAGATTTCCAGATCCTTCAGTAACAGAGTCGGTATGGGCAATAGGCTTCAAACAACTAATAGTACTAAAATTCTTTAGTTTGTGGAACAGATCTCATCTTTATAATTAGCAAAATCATTAAGTAGCTATGTCCTGAATATGTATGTTCTTCTGTCTGTTCTTCTATCTTTGACCTTTAGCTCACACTGGCCTTACTAAGCAAGAAAAATACAGTGGCATTGAAAAGCCTACCAGTGCCCCTGACAATTCAAAGGCTGTGATGTTAACTTTTTCCATGCAGCTTCCACACATTCTCAGTGTTGTTGTTCACATTGTTACTCTAAAGTCACAGCACTTCTTCAGAAGGCCTGCATCAAACTCCTTATTCCAAACACACACCTGGATCTGCCTCTATAGGATAAAAGAAAATTATGATGTGAAAATTCTTCAAATATACCCAATCTCCCTCCTGCTGCTGTGAGCCATGGCTCTCAAACTGGAGCTCACACCTGCTTCTGCCAGCAGATCTGCTATAGATCACTGCACCTCAACTTTTCAGGTTTTAATTCTAGGCTTAACGTGGGGCCCAAGACTTTGCGTTTCTGGCACATTCTCAGGCATGCCTTTGCGAACTCCTCCCTGTAAGTGTACCTGAAATGGCAATCGCTAGAATGTCATTCTGTCCACATTAGGTTACCATGCTCAACCTGCTTGAGTCCAGCACTTCCCTGTGCTCTGAGTTAGGAACGTCCGTCTTTCTGGGAAGCTCTCTCTAATTTCTTTGCTGTTTGCACATCTGCAGTGTCGAGTGTTTCCTTTACTATATAAATAAATGCATCTCCTAGTGTAAGAAAATGAAGATTCTAGAAAGAGAGCAGATGATGCCCATATTCAGTGTCCTTGATCCCTGGAGGGCAAAGGTCGTGTGAAGATGAGGTTCTCGAGGGATGCTATAGGAGCTGGGAAGTTCAACTTCTAGTCAGAGGAAAAGGTTTAATTCCAGGAAGAGCCAAGAACTTAATGACTGACAACTGAGGGGTGCAAAGATCCCTGAGTTCATGGAGTTGAAGGGTGTGCTGTGAACATACTACATGTGACCTCAGGAGGCAGAGTGGTCCCCTCATTTTGTGGACATCGGATGCTCTTTAAGGGAGTTACATAGTCTGGAGGCCTGGATCCTTTCTTGTGTGGCTGGAAGAGAATGCTTTTATCCTGCTTGCACTAGCTGGCCCTGAGAAATCCAGACTAAGAGGCCTCTCTACTCCAGGCCACAGAAGACAGAACTCATCTGGCTGCCAATCCAGTGTCCTCCTTTTTGACTTGACATCCTCCTCCAGCCCCTGTCAGAGAATGAGCCCATACCAACTACCCAAAGAAGAAGAAGAAAAAACAAAACAAAACAAAACTGGGTCTCTAAAAGTTCAAGAGGGGAAATAAAGTCATGTGTCTTACTCAGAATTGAGTTTGATTCCAGAGAGCATAAGGTGGAACTATTTCCTGATAGACATGAAAGTATGAGGAGGTGGAGATCCCTGGAGAAATGACTGGTGCTATAGAGCAGATGCCCCAGAAGGGGAAGGAATAGGCCAAGACAAGGCCATCACCAAGTGACTGTACAGGACTTCAGTGAGAGGAGAAACCTGGCTTGCAAGTGGGATAGATTCTGAGTGCCCAGTGAACACAATGTGCAGGCTGTGATTTCCTGGTCGAAGTTCTAACACCTTGGCTAAACAGAACAGTCTATAAGATTTTGCATGGGCTATGCAGGTTGCATTGAAACAGAGGACTGGGAGAATGGGCAGCATGGCAGCCATATTTGGAATGGTAAAAGTCTGGGGGCTAGAGGACCACCTAAATTTGAGGACAAAGGAAAGATAGTTCAGTTGGTGATGTTTGGAAATATGAAGATCTGAGCTCAATTTCCAGAGCCCACGTACAAACGGCAGGTGTGGCGGTACACTTCTGTACTCCTAGTCCTGGGGAGGGGCATCGATGGGCTCCCAGGCCAGCCAGGCTATCCTATTTGATGAATTGCAGGCTAACGAGAGACCTTATCTCAAGTGAGATGGATGGCATTTCTGAGGTGGATACCCAAGGTTGTCCCTTGGTCTCCACACGCACATGCACACACATGCACCTGCACACACACACACACACACACACACACACACACGCATAATAGCAAGAAGTCGCCATACATTTCAATAATTCAGAAACCATGAAATCACATACCCTCTCGGGGACTGTGTTTGTAAGAAGTGTCCTCAGGAGACACTTAGATAGTGGAAAGGGAAGCACAGGAAGGATGTGGGAAGACTGATTTAAATGCAGGGAGTGACCCAGATGAGTGAGAGCAATGTGACTGTGATAATTTTGTGGTGAAGAGAGTCTCTTAGAATAGGCGCAACTGCTACATTAGCTAGCTGCCGCCGCACAGAGGCTTACAACTCACCAGTGGCTTAGGACATGGCTTTGAATATTTATTAGTTCTGTGAGCCCGGGCATGACTTAAGCAGTGCCATGCCCAGGGTCCCTCAGGCCACTGTGCATGGAATGGTGCCAGCTCTAAGCTAACTAAGGCTGAAATCCAGAAGGATAAGCTCGTGAAGACCCTCAGGGCTGGTCAGAATTCACATTCTTCCTTCTAGCTGTAGAATTCATTATAGCTTGCTTCATCCCTGTTGCTCCAAATTCTCAATGTCAGCAAAGGCCTGGATCCCCTTAATGGCCTCCCCAGTCAGGGCCACATAGGATGAGCTTTCCAAGGAAGCTGATGAGGAACTTTAAATGTGTCTTCAACAGCTCTGGAATAGAAGTTCATATTCAGATGGAGGGAATTACTTGGGGCAGATCATAGGGGCTCTCGGGGGAGGGGATTTATGTAGCCAAAGTAAAGTTCTATATAATTTTAATCAAGTCTCTATGAGGCCAAGGAGTCACACAAGCCTGCTAAAGACCTCCCTTCTAAGAGCAGATAGTGCATTAATTACTTTTTTGTTGCTGGAGCAAAATATCTCACACTCAATTTAGGCCTCACCTTCACAGCTTCATGGACTGGCCTCTCAGAGCCTCCTTGCAGGAGCTCCATCCCTGTGACATATTGTCTGGTGTTAGTGGCTCTCAGGGACTTTGGCCGCAAACTCCGTGAACTCTTCAATCTTGCATTGTCCGTGCCTTTAGAACCAGTACCATGCAGTTGATGCTAGGAGGTGGTGCTGTCAGTTTAGAATGAAGCCTGGCCCCTTGGACCACAGTCACATACATTTCTTACCTAGGCAGTGGTTTTGATCAGAGAACCTTCCTTTCAATGGTAGTCACAGTTTAGCTCATGGCTCTCAACCAAATTTCATCTTCACAAGGCAAAGCTTTCAGTGGGTGGGATGAGAGGAGGAAGCCTTAACCATAACACCTTCTGAATACTCTCCTATCTTGAAATTTCCTCTGCCAAAAAAATTAACCTACTACCTTAGAAATTAGTCTTCTCAGGGTCGTCAGGGCACAGAGAGGATGTAGCCAGATTGTTTAGCAAAATATAAGATGACTTGTTTAGAGAACCAGTGTTCCCTGCAGTCTTTGTTCCCTCTGGAGCCAGGCTCCTTGGTTGACACTTCTCTCTAAATTCTGGTCTTCTAAACTCCTGGTGGGATGGCCTGACAATCTCTATTCATAGCCTTCCCAGCTTGGTTAGCTCCAAATTCCAAGCTCTTCTATGTTCAACATTTATGCTGGCTT